TCAATATTTTTTAACTATCATCTCTTCTACGAGTTTTTGACATCAGACATCATTCATCATAATTTCCACTTACTCGCTTGTTTAAGCTCTGTTTTAGTCTCAGATGACGATGGTAAAACAACAGCAAAAAACTTCGATGAGTAATGTGATCCCAGGAATACTAATCCAGACTTTCTGAACTATCCAACGATACAAGAGAAAAAGAGAGAATAACGACACCCTTGCAATAGGGCATCCTCAGGTTTATAAAAGCAGATTAGTAATACCAGCTCGAAGGCCACCGTTTAGACGGGGCACCATGCAAAAGTAAAAGATACAGACAAGTCGCACGCATTCATATCACGATCGGAAGGGCTGATTTCCTTAACAAGGGTAAGGATCGATCCAAACACTGTGTGAGTTAATTAAGGTCATTTGCCATGTTCACACAATGAATTACTTTCAGATCACTTTCAGAGCCAGTCTGTACAAAGCTCAATAAACAGGTCCTGTGACTTCTGTTAGAACGTTCGGGTAGACTGTCATCGAGGCGACAAAGAACAACAGGAGCAACATAAATAATTTTAGGCACATTTCATTACTTCCTCCAAAGAGACCTTCCGAAACGACTGTAGGGTACGTTTTCAATTTCAGTATTAGTCTCTGAACAGACCACTTTGGTGGGAGATTTTCCTAGGTCAGCTTGATAACCCACTGATATTACTCATTTGCCGATGATTATAAACTCTTAAATGATTACGGATGTTTGCTCACATTTCTTGCCATTCAATTTCGTTTTTCATAGACTATAGACTAACGCTTTGCTACATGACATTCACAACAGACAAACATAAGTAACGTCAATTAATCATAAAATGATGGTACTGTTGGTAATAATAACAGTAAATAATGACGTCTACGACTGATTTCACCAAGAACAGTTGGCAAATATAAACACCAGTACTAGATATGCAAATACAAAATGATCACAGAGCCGTGGTTCGTTTAAATGCAACCTAGGTATATATACGAACAATGCTGCGCACGATAAATTCGTTTAACATCATTTTGTGGAGCAATGTTTTCATTACTTGAGGTATATTTCATATCCGTATATTCTTAATTCGACTGTGCAATTAAGATGATGTTTGAACCCATTGTGGGTGAAAGGGGATGCGTTTAATTTTACTACTCATTTACATTACTTATTTACTAACTTAGAAATTTTCTTATGAAGGATTTTACTCCAGCTCCAGTCTCTTAGTAAAATTGTCCAATGAGGATGAAGATGAGAAACTAGATAAAAGAACCATTATTTTTGATCACTGTATCTCAACACACAGGCTCATTCATCAAAATAATGAAGCCAGCGGCCAAGAATGAAGTCAGAAAGCTGTCCTTCAGGGAGATCTGCAGTTGTACTGGACTGTGCTTTTCACGCATAAAATCACATGACTCAACCCACTGTCCTGCAGAGATCGAATTTTAACAGCGCGGCCCCTGGCGCATATCAACAAGAGACGAGACATATAGACTGAAGCTCAATGAGTCTTCTAGTTTCACATAAATATTTCAGTGCCATACCCGCGACAGATGGCGACTATAATCAAAGGAGAAATTCTTCCAGCTTTGTGACACTTTCGTAAGAACGTAGAAAACGCAGACTAAAAATGTAGTGTCACAAACGCAAAATCCGTCACTAGCTTGCTACAATCAAGTCGGTTCTGCTTCGAGGACCATAATGGCTGCCCTTAAAAGAATAAAAACTGAAGAATGAGTGACAGCTGGAATTAAGATACAAACTGTGGTTACGATGATGGCAGAAGCATATAAGGCGCCGTTCTTAACTAGAGTCAGTCATACCTCAGGAAATATTATGTGATACGCGAATGACTGACACAACTCATGGCTTTATTGAAAAAAGGAAACAATCGGTCATTTTTACGGTCATTCCTGGCTCTCTTCCTTTCCAAAAGTTAGTGATGAGATACTGATTTTCGTTTCCATATAATCAGTTGGGAGTGCCCTACCTTAAAGGTAGCGTCGACAGCTGCTTTATGGAAAGCACTGTGCATCGTGTCCTCTGCCCTTTCCACAGAGTGGTACCGATCCATCAACCTCAGAAGGAAGAAAGCCTAGTGATCTGACCGGCGCCCTAACCTAAGTCCAGTCGGTTCTGAGTCTGACGCTTCACTAACTGGTCAACTACAATGTCAGTCCCAACATTAACGACAAAGTGCAGATGGTCAGTCAGTACATCACATGGATGTTGAAGAAACTCAACTGTCCGGCAGACCGGGAGGAATCCCTCTTTCGTCCAAATGAAATGTTCAGTCCGATAAGCGGATATCATAAATCTGGTAAGCACCTGCAGTACTCGTTAGCCGTTGCCTTAAATAGCCAAGAAGTTCAGCACTTTGTCAGATTAAACATAATTGTATTGCTGGAGGGTCTCATAACACTGGTTTGCTCGTTGGTGCACGAAATATAATGCACACGAAGCCGATACCAGGCACAAGATATCATATACTTTCAAACCTGAAAAGGATAACCATAGCGTGTCCAACGAAGTATACTGTTTCAAGTAGAAACCGATCTGATAAACTCATATACTGGATGCTCTTTCATGTGCCTCTATCGTTATAAACAACAGCACATGCTACTACGTATTTTATACATGGGAGTAGTAGATAGAAGGATTAAATATTGTTTTTACAATCAGCTACCGGTAAATTTTTTCGGGCAGACAATAAAATAGAAAGCAACAAAAATATATACATGACTAATATGTACGCAACGTTACAAAATACTCTGTAAAAAGTAATAACGAATAATTATATGCTTCATTCAGATGAACAAAGAAACGGTTAAAAGGCCGGGAAAATACTTATTAAGTCGTCAAGGTTTTGGAACCCACAACATGATTCTTCTTAAGCACAAAATTAATTATTTACTTCTAAAGCACGTTATTAATCTGATGCTGAAGGAAGACAATTGTGTGTTCCGAAAACTCTACTTAGTAAATATTTCTCCAGACATCTAAGCGTTTCAGTACTGATCTGCAATTATTATGAGTCAGTATATGTTTTCCAGCTGAAATTCGCATTCACTCAAGCAAGTCTAAATTTAATACAAAATAATACGCATTGCATATAACATAATATAGTGAATGATGGCTCTGCAAAACGTTTAGTTGACAGATGATAAAAGTGGGAAATATTCCAAACGTAGCACTATAAACAAAACTGTGCACTTAGAGCACTATCTGCTTACTGTAACTATAATGCACATTAGCATAACATAGCTCATATTAGATACAACATACAGTTACGAATTATACAGTATGCAACTTCTACCATGGACTACAGTACCTACGAAACGAGAAACCTATTCAGCGCACACGAAAATCATATAGACTGCAAAAAAATGAAAAGCCGGCGTATTGTTTATGGCGCCAATACGTAGGATAACACAACTTACTTAGCATACTAAGTACAGGATAAACCCACAGTAAGTAAATCAACTGAGAGTGCTTTCACTTGTACTAAACGGGTCAAGAACCTAAGAAATTTTGATTACTTATTAAAATAGTAAGTAAAATAGTAGGTAGCGCAGTAAGTCGAAATTTCGTAACAGTGCGGAAAAGCTTGTTTCCTTACGACTTTTTCACATTACATATTATAGCCATGAATCGGGACCAATACAACAAGTTCGAATCACACCTTCCAAGAAGTTTCCTGCCCGGAGAAACACTAGGCTCAGCGCATAATAAAGATGGACGCCTCTGCGAACCGCTGGCTAACATATTCGAAAAAGTAGACTGGGTGTAACCGATGCAAGAATGAAACTGCATGGCCCACTCTCTTCGTCACATTGCAGAACACGGCAATTCCTCCATAAACGTGAATCGTGCATTACTCCCAGAGAGCTTTCGTCCATTCCTCTACTGGCTATTGGCTGATGTTAACCGGCGGTTCACAGCCCAGAGTACTGCATTGCTGATGTGTCAGAAGCTAAGACTGAGATACTATCTCCCTTGATTTCGTTGTTTAGCGGCGTCTGATCAGGCGCATATCTGAGCTACCTTTTAAAAAACTTCAACAGCTGAGCTAAAATACTTCTACTGAATTAGAGATGAGCAGTTGGAAGAAGGAAGGAATGGGGGATGTTTGCCTGTATTCCAAAATAGAGCATGTAGAACATTTGATGATGTAGATTACCATCTGAAAAGAAAACGACAGTGACGGATGGATGTTACGAATTCGCACTGTTTGAAAGTCTACCGTAATCTTTTACTGCCAATTAAAATCAGTAAAATAAAAGAGTACAGTACTAAATATTGCGG